AGTAGGTGCAGAGAGACTGGCCATAACTCGCGTACGTGCAAGAAAGATACTCTAGGTACTGCTTAATCTATTATGTTAATATGTAGTAAAACAACTATATTGTGGTGGAACTACAGGCTTATAGAGGTGCGCAGGTTTGGTGGGGTGCGGCGCTCGCTTGCCTGCGGCGCTCGCTTGCCACATACGTTACATGTATATGAAACACATGCTATTTTTATTTATTTTTTCTTCCCTCACCCTCCTCCTCCTTCTTCTCATTCTTCTCTCATTTGTATTCTCGTTTATTTATTTTCTTATTTGTATATTTATTTCTGTCAAGCAAAGAAGAGTAAGCAGAAATGCAAGGGGCGCATGATTTGTATACATAGATTGTAAAAAAAATGCATGCATGAATTGTGGCAGTCAGCGTGTTGCTTATGCCAGGCGTGGTATGTACGGCATGATGCATTTGTATTACAGTGTCGTGTATGACAAATGTATACCATGTTTATTTATTTTTTGTGTGTGTATTAGACGAAGTTGGCGGGTACGTAGAGGATGACGTGAGAGGGGGTTTCGGCCTTGTTTTAATCCCTTCTTCTCTCTTGGATGATTTTCTCGTGCTTGGGTGGTTTGGGAAGTGCGGAGAGAGGTATGGTGGGGTCATGGGACATGCTGCGGTAATGCAATTCACGGACAAAAGTAACCGGGTTCTAGCATGCATGAGGAAGAGACGTGGGAGGCTTAGGGCGTGCTTGTAATCATTACAGAAAGTCTGGTGCAACAGAAACGGTAGGACAGAGTCGCGAGAACCGTTGCAGAAGTTTCCTCGCTTGTTAAATGGGATTTCACATTGTTTCAAAAACCTACGTGCCTCGTATTGAGCAGTAGTCGTATATGTATTATGTCTACCTGAAGAACTAGCCTGAAGCTGCTGGAATAGACATTGTAAAGCCTATCTCCCTTGAGGCTGGCAAGCAGCTGATTGAAAATAGATGAACATGTGGTTTGTAAAGCAACCCTGTATTCGTGAGGATAGCCCCCCCGACTTACTACATGCTCAATGGGAAATTTGACGCCGTCTCCTCGAGCCGTAAAAATTACTGTCGTATAGAATGTACCAAAACAGGGCAGCTCGAATGACGCCTAGTCCGCCCAGCCGATAGCGTTGGTGGATTGTGGGGGAACGACATTAACCGCGTATTTACCAACCACATTGCCAGCGGGAGCGTAATTGCAGACTGTGTACTTGTTCATGGTCGAAGGCCTTCCGTCAACGGTCATGGCAGTGCCACAGTCGAGAGAGACGCATCCAACCTTGGTGGTGCCCTTCCATACCAACTGTGTAAGGTGTCCAACTTTCTCAAAGACGTCGTGAGGTAAGCTGGCCTTGCCAAACCAAGGCATCATCGGGGAAAGCTCGCCATGGTACCAACTCTCCGTGATGGCCGCAGTGACATTAAAGGCCCTACCAGAGACTGTAAAGAGATTTTGACCCTGGCCGGCACCCTTAGGAATGAAGTGCTCAAAGTTACATCTATTGGCGGCGATACGAGCATTTTCCTCGCATTTGGAGTCCCAAGACAATGGCGCAGCGTGGTGGTTGGCACGAATGACATTATGGTGAAAGAGTATGGCAGCCTTGTAGTCGGGGCCTGTAGCGAGATAGGCCTGGTCAATACCGGATATATGATCGCTTGAGCCGACTGCAACCTGACCATCGATATCGGAGGCTGCGTCAGACATGACAGATGCAGAAGCAGTTGGGTCGATCTCCCAGGCCGATGAAGTTGAAGTAGGTTCGGGTTGAGCGTCGGACTTTTGCGTAGAGATGGCCTTCAATTCGGTAGTGGACGATGTTGCAAGAGACGTGGAGCCCAGTGTAGTGTAATCATGGGTGAGGGTCACGACAACTGTTTGGATTACGACCTCGGTCTCGTAGACAATCTTGGGTTGGCGGCGGTGTAAGTGAGGGCCAGCCATGACAGCAATTGCCAGAGCGAGGGTGACCAGGAAGAGGCGCATTTTGTACCGTTGACAATGCGGGACTCTGTAGCGTAAGGGTTACCGTGAAGATGGCTGTAGTGGGTTGTCAGAATCTCTCGTAGGAAAGTAGAGGCTGGACACGGACTGAACGTACCTACGTGCTGTGGCTCTCGGAGGCTGTTGCGACAGAAAATGGACGAAGAGAGAGTGTGGGTGTTGTCGAAGCAGCAAAGAGAGTGGTTACTGTTCGCGCAAGGTGAAAGGAGCGGGAAGAAAAGCCAATGGCGGAGGGGTGTGAAGGAGTGACGGGGAGTGAAGGAGAGGAGATGGATGGTTTGTTTACCGAGTACAGATTGGGCCAAACGCAGGCACGATGAGGCAGGAGCGACTTCCCCCCACAGGGCCAGGTGAGAGGAAGTGCCATTTATGGTAGTTGAGGGCATGCTCCTGATTGGTCACGCATTCATAGCGCTGCAGGCTACAAGGGGATAGTCAAGGCTGGGTAGGCCAAGAGACTAGACTTGAGCACTTCAGATGGTGATTGATGTGGTGAAGGTGGTATGTATGCTGCTTCTCGTCTTGTGGTTGGACATATTGTCCTGTAGTTGGCATCAGCTAGCCGGCAAGTCGGATTAAGCATATGACCATGCAAGGCTTGGCCACTTATCCGGAACCATGCATTCAGAGCGACGGCCTGACTCGTATCCGGGGAAGCTAGCATGGCTGCCAGAACTAGCCGGCAAGGCACTCAAAACGTCAGGTATGGCTTGCTTTCCTAAAGTGGCCATGGTACGAAGTGCAGTGTGGAGTAGGAGTGGCTCTTGCAGTCGCCTTGTATGCTTGTAGTAACGTCGCTGTGATAATAGCCAGGATACGCTGCTCGGCCAAGCTGTTCATGTGCTTGACAGATTAACTAACCAACCCCACTTGGAGTGCACTTCAGCATTGTGTATACGGGGGTTGTTGTGCCTGGCTGGGTCCACAGGAAGCCAAGATGGTATTCATCGTTACGGCAACGTGACTCATTGTCGACAGGATCCCAAGAAGCTCATGCTCCAGTGCCCAGAAACGGATCCATCAGACAAGACTGCTTATCTTTTGGACCCATTCAGGTAAAAGACGGCCTTCACGTCCCCATTATACAGGAAAACTCTGTAAAGACGTGTGCGCCATGTGCACCACCAGCCAAGCTCCCTCTTTGGCATCCCCGGAGCGTGACGAATCGGGTAATGCGTAAGTATTGCGGGTCGGGCAGAGAGAATCCACATTTCTTTTCTGCTCCGCTTGCGCAACGTACCTGGGCGAGCTGCAGCCAACGGCGAACACACGACGGCGTCCGCTGCATGGCCGCGATGTTGCCTTTCCAGAAAATTCATCCGCGCATCGCCAAGGCAAAGAGGCAAATGTCATGCACGTCAAAAGGATGCGAGGCGCGGGCAGCCAGTCGGGCCAGTCGGCGTCGCGGAGATTACGTCGTTGGCGGGGGCGGGGCACGTCGCGAATGCGAGTCGGCAGCGCAGTCGGACATGTTCGTTGATAACGGCCATAGTTTCGCCGAACCATGCGCCACCGTACCTCGCAGCACTTCTTTTTCCTGCTGCTCGATGCCTCTTGTCAAGTTCAATCTTCGAGCATCCTGTCGCCCTGCCCGGCCGCCTGTAGCCACCGTGCCCACCCCTCGACCGCCTGCTGCTGCTGCTGCTGCTCCCGTGGCCCGCCCAAACACCTTTTCTGCGCAGCGCTGCCATTTCCGCACATTGATCTTGGGAATGAACGCCCACAGCACCTCGAGTCACCCGCCCTCTGCGGGTCATGGCTTGAGGCTGAGCAACCGCCTGGATGAGAGCCGTAGCCCCTACGTCCGCGGCCATATGCACAACCCCGTCGCATGGCAACTGTGGGGACCAGAGGCTATCGACCTGGCCAAAAAGTCCAACCGCTTGATTTTCATCAGCATAGGCTACGCTGCCTGCCATTGGTGTCATGTCATGGAGCGCGAGTCGTTTGAGAACGATGAGGTTGCCAAGCTGCTCAACGACAACTTTATACCAATAAAGATTGATCGCGAAGAGCGCCCGGATGTCGACCGCATATACATGAACTACGTCCAGGCTACCACAGGCTCCGGCGGCTGGCCTCTGAACGTCTTCATCACTCCCGACCTCGAGCCCATATTCGGCGGCACTTACTGGCCCGGCCCGGGGTCGACAATGGCCATGGGGGAGCACATTGGTTTTGTTGGCATATTAAAAAAGATTCGGGACGTGTGGAGAGACCAGCGGCAAAGGTGTCTTGAGTCGGCCAAGGAAATCACAGCACAGCTTCGCGATTTTGCCGAGGAGGGCAACATTAGCAGGAAAGACGGCGCACGTCACGAAGTTTTGGAACTGGAGCTACTTGACGAAGCATATGAAGTAAATATGCCTCATTCAGATGGCGCCAAATTCTCGCTAATGGTTCCTAGCACTTCAAAAAGAGATATGACAAGATGCACGCAGGCTTCGGCAGCGCCCCAAAGTTCCCAACCCCTTCCAACCTCCAGTTTCTCCTCAAACTGTCGCAATACCCAACTCCAGTTCGAGAAGTCATCGGTGCAAAGGACTGTACCTACGCCAAAGATATGGCGCTGGCAACACTGTCTGCTATGAACAAGGGCGGCATACACGATCAGATTGGAACCGGCTTTGCGCGCTACTCTGTGACCAAGGATTGGAGCTTGCCGCATTTTGAGAAGATGCTTTACGACCAATCCCAATTGTTGTCCGTATACCTCGACGCCTACTTGATGACGAGAAGTCCCGAGCATCTCTCGGCTGTTCACGACATTGCAACCTATCTCACCAGTCCACCCATGCATGCTGCAAGCGGCGGCTTCTTCTCGTCTGAGGATGCCGATTCGCTGTATCGTCCAAACGACAAGGAGAAGCGAGAGGGTGCATTTTACGTATGGACGTTGAAAGAATTCCAATATGTACTCGGCGACAGAGACGCTGAGATTCTTGCAAAGTACTACAACGTCAAGGATGAGGGCAACGTTGCCCCCGAGCACGACGCCCACGACGAGCTCATCAATCAAAATGTACTAGCCGTCACTTCGACGCCCACAGATCTCGCCAAGCAGTTTGGCCTTCCAGAGGAAAAAGTCAACAAGATTCTGACCGAGGGTCGGCAAAAACTGCTCGAACATCGTAACAAAGAGCGCCCACGGCCGGGCCTGGATGATAAAATCGTAGTCTCCTGGAACGGTCTCGCCATTGGCGCTCTAGCACAAACGTCGGCTGCGCTCTCCTCGCAAGACCCAACACGCTCCAAAGAGTACCTTGCTGCAGCCGAAAAGGCAGCTGCATTCCTCCAAAAACACCTCTACAACCCCGAATCCAAGACACTGATTCGCGTCTGGCGCGAAGGCCCAGGCGATGCACCCGGATTTGCAGACGACTACGCCTACCTCATCTCCGGACTCATCCATCTCTACGAAGCCACATTCAACGACTCATACCTACAGTGGGCCGACGACCTCCAAAAAACGCAGCTCAGAATGTTCTGGGACAAGCAGCACCTCGGCTTCTTCTCCACGCCCGAAGACCAAACCGACCTCATCCTGCGGCTCAAGGACGGCATGGACAACGCAGAACCAGGCACAAACGGCGTCTCAGCCCAGAATCTCGATCGCCTCGGCGCCCTCCTGGAAGACGCAGAGTACACGCAGCGAGCACTCGACACGGCATCTGCCTTTGAAGCCGAAATCATGCAACACCCTTTCCTCTTCCCCAGCATGATGGACGCCGTCGTCACGGGCAAACTCGGCATCCGACATGCCGTCGTAACAGGCGACGGCCCCCGAGCCACCGAATGGCTAACGCGATATCGCGAGCGCCCAGCCGCCCTCGCCACAATCAGCAGAATCGGCACCGCCACAGGCCAATGGCTCCAGTCAAGAAACTCCCTCGTCTCATCCATGGATCCCGCAAAGGAAGCCGTCATAATGTGTGAAAACGGCGCCTGTAGAGATGCCCTGGTAATGGACATGTCGAGTCTAGAGGATGCTGTCCCCAAAATTTGACCCCCCCCCCCGTGAAACAACACTCCAATTTTGATACGTAGACGAGATAGATACCATTGATTAGCACCACCATGTACCGCATTGTATATATATATGACTTGAAGTACAATACATTCCCCCCCCCCCCCCAAGTTAAGAGAGTATCAAAACAAGCATGCCTGCATGGTAGAAATAACAAGTCACTCACTCTATCACTGACGAAATTCTTCTGCCAAAAACACATGAACCTCTTTCACACTGTCCTACCCCCAAACCCATACTCATCCACACTGCTAAGAGCTAAACACTTTACCAGTCATCGGAAGATGCAAAAAAAAAAGAGTACATGTAGGCCATACATAGATAGACAAGGCTGTACAAAGACCAAAAAAGAATGGTCACTACGAGGGTCGAACTCGCGACCTTGGCGTATCATACAATGTATTAGCACCACGCTCTAACCAACTGAGCTAAGCGACCAGATGATTTGATGCATACAAAGAATATTACATTCATGATAATTGGTTTTCAAAACAAGGCCTTGAAGGCCTGGCAATGCGTACTCAAAGAGCGGGGCTATTGATTGTATCGCGGGGTAATTGAAAGTGCTAGGATACCCATGAATCAGCATCAGAAAGAAAATCCCCAAATTAACTCCCAATATGAACAAATAAAATCCTCTGAATCACAGAGCATTTACATCAGTTTATCATTCATTATGTAGCAGTATATTGCTATACAAGTCTAATCGCTCAGACTGTCCATACACATCATGCTCATGTCTCATGCCGTATCCCGTCAGATGCCTAGATGCTATCCAAGATTCGTGTCGTGTCCCGATAACTCCAAACTCCCGCTTTGCATGTAAACTAAGTCCGGAGCCATCCCATTCCGTAGCATAACCGAGCAAAATCCAGCAACCACCCAATTACCAGTCCTTGAGTATCGATGCAATCAACGGGACTGAAGCCACAGTGTCGACAGGCTGTGTCGGGGGCGTCTGTGACGCAGTAACGTTGGTTTTGTTTGCAGCTGCTGCCGCCGCCGCCTGCTGTTTCTCATGTTGTTTCTGTTGCTGTTTCTGTTTCTTTTTACTCTTCTTCTTACTCGGTGTAGCAGATGAAACCTTGCTGGTCATTTCACCTCCATCCGCAAAGTCGTCAGGCCAATCGTATTTCCATTGACCGTCCACAAACGGATTCCTCTTGATGAATCTGGACACGTCCTCCTGTTTCCTCAGTACTTCCAGGTAGCCAGCCACCTCGCGCAGAACGTCGCCCTTCATTTGCTCAGGGGTAGCCGAAAACTCTGGAATCTCAAGAAGGTTGTGCGGCTGGGCACAGGCCTTGATGGAGGTGTCATCGATGAGGACCGTGTTGTGCTGACCAAATCGACCACCGGTCTCGTACTCTGGATGAAACGACTGAATCTGGCTGCGGCTCCATACCAATTTCAGGTTCTTATACACTTGGACGTTTTGCTGGTAGTTGGTCGGGGACAGTCCGAAGCTGTCTCGCGCCCATTGAGCCACTAGTTTCGATCGCAAGTCATTTTCCAGAGCTTGGTTAACAAGCGACTTTACATTGTCTGGCCTGGCGCTTGACCAGACCATAACCTTGAAGTTGTCGAACAGATAGCAGAGAAAGGGCCTCAAGAACGGGCGTTCAATCATGGTCTTCGCATTGCGATTAGGCCTGTAAAGAACTGTCCCGTTGAGGTCTAAGATGACCAACAACTTGCCAGGGCTCTCAGTTGTAGACGGTTCGCCAGCCGCCTGCTCGAGGTATTCTTCTGTGGGCTGCGGTGCGGGAAGCACAATCTTCTCGTCACCATACCGCCCCTTCTTCTTTTCATCTACAAGTGCGGCAGACTTGGGACCCTTAGACACACTGTAATATTTGTCAACCCGAGAACATGCGACATCATTGGCAATGCAGCGGAGGGTACCATACTCTTTCTGCTTGGCGTGTCCATTGGCAGCAAGCCCAGACTTTGATATCTTGCCTGGAGGAGGTGGCATCCTGTGGTCGTTAGCGTTGCGACTCTTGGACTTTACTCCCTTCAACAAGGCATCAAAGGCATACTGTATATCCTCGTTCATCGCACCAGGCGCAAAGCTGGCCTGCGAATGCATGGCATGGTAATTCCCGCGGTTGGGAAACATATGGTTTTGCTGATGCTGCATGAACGGCGGAGGACCATGGTGTAGCGGGTGGCCATACGGTGGCGGCCCAAAAGGTGGCGGTCCATGTGGCTGCATGTGCGGTGGCGGGCGCCCCCCAAAAGCCTCTGGGCCTGGAGGATAGTTTGGTGGAGGTGGCGGCGCATTGTGTCCGTAGCCATTGTGTATCATCCACTGATGGTACGCCTGCGCTTGTTGATGGGCGGCATAGTCGTTGTACGCCTCGGGGCCGTTGAACATGTGTGGTGGGGGTGGGGGCGGCGGTGGAGGCGGCGCAAAACCCGCATTCCACGGTGCGCTCGGTGGTCCGTATGGGCCTGGGTGTCCTTGAGGAGGGGGAGGAGCATGAAGCTGGTTCTCAAAGGCGCCGAAATTCTGCTCTCGGCGGTCAAAGCCGCGGGGCTGGAACGGCAGTGCATTGGGATTCCAGGATTCGCTCATTCTGGGGCTGGGGGCGTCGGGATCGAGCGTGTGCTCGGGGAGAGTGCTATGTCGACCTGCGGTGGTCTTGCAGTTGGCGATGTTAGTGGAAGAAGTTGCGACTGGAGCGCAGTGGGGGATGCTGTACCGAGCTGACGCGACTGCGGCCATGGAGCACGTGCGTTGGCGGCGGGCACTCGGAGACAGGAGATCGGTGAAGCGTGAAGAAGACAGTGAGGTGACGATGCAGTGATCGTAGCATTAGCCTGGCTGGTGAGGCTTCTGGAAATTTGGGCGCGAAGTTGCCTGTTTGTCAGCCCTATCGGCGAATCGAAAACCCGGCAGCCATGTGGGGTCCACCAAAAAGTCGCGTAGCCTGGGGTGCCTTTGCGACGCTCCACTCCAATCCGACAAACACCACGACGCCGAAACCCTGCAGCAGGCCTGTCCGGAGCGCCTTAGACGGGTTGAAATAAGCATCCACCATGGTTCTCGCAAGCAAGCTCGATCGCAATTTGCGAGCGGCGGAAGAGAGCTCGGATGGCGAAGACTACTACGAAGTCACCGACCGGTCTTCCTCTGCATCTGTAATTGATGCAGACGAGGGCGGCAACGTCATCAGCTCCGATGAAGAGGACGCGGGTTCCGAAGACATGGTGAGCGTTGGATACTACACACAAACGAGGCCATGCTGACAAGGACAAGTCAGATGTGGACGACAATCAAGTAAAGGCGCAAATGAGCAAAGTCTCGTTCGGCGCATTAGCCAAGGCACAAGACGCGCTCTCGCAGCAGTCGTCGGACAGAAAGCGGAAGCGAGGCGACGACACATCGAAATCACAGGAGGACAAGCTGGAGGCATTGAGGGAGCGCTTGCGGCAGATCAAGGCTGAGAAGCTTGCAAGCGGTGCTCAGCCTAGCAAAAAAGCCAAATCGTCAAGCAAGTCCAAGACAAAAGCCGTTGCGAACGAGACTGGAGGCGACCGGGACGCTAGTGACGACGACTCTGATTCCGATGCTGCCCCCCATGCGCGCTCGAGCAAACATGCACCTGCCGTCCAATCCAGCAAGCGAATGGTATCGCGCAAGCGCAATGTAGTTGAAGTCAAGAAGCCCGTGTTCCGAGACCCACGATTCGACAGTGTAACTGGACCTCGGCCAGACGAGCACGTAGTGAGCGAGCGCTACTCTTTCCTCAACGACTACCGTGCTTCTGAAATTTCCGAACTGCGCAACACTATCAAGAAGACCAAGAACGAAGATGAAAAGGAGCGACTGAAGAAGAAGCTGATGTCTATGGAGTCGCAGCAAAAGGCTCGGGACTACAAGGACAAGCTGCAGGAGGTTGCACGAGAGCACAAGAAGAAGGAAAAGGAACTAGTCAAGGAGGGCAAGAAGCCCTTCTTCTTGAAGAAGTGTATGTCCAACCAGCCTCCATCTCTGCCTCACATACTAACCGTATTTTGTAGCCGAACAAAAGAAGATTGCTTTGGTCGAGCGTTTCCAGAACATGAAGTCGAAGCAGCGCGACAAGGTCATCGAACGCCGGCGCAAGAAGGTCACTGCCAAGGAAAGGAGGAATATGCCCGACACACGACGCACTACTTAATGTCCGTGTGGCGCATTCACGAGTGCACTTTGGTAGGATTATTCAGATACCCATTCGCAATCTTATATTCATGCTACTCCGTGATTAGCATGCACTCGTGCTGCTTCACTCCTTGTGTTTGTGACAGCCATGCAGCCATTAAAGACTTGGTGAAATCAAGGATTGAACATTGGTATATCATACTTGGTATCAGATGCTCCAGTACTATGCCCATATGTGCTCTAGATTCCACTGGAGATTGCCATGAAAGTCAACGAAACAAAGTACATGGAGTCCAAGCTATAGCTTAGTCATTGTACCACTCACGACGCAATTAAAAGAGTAGTTCAGCAATGCGAGGGATGCGAGCAGCATCAGCTAGCCAAGTACAGGGTAGTATATCTGTAATCACAGCGCGAACAAGCACAACAAGCACTACTATGACAGGGCCAAAAAAAAAGTAGCTTAAGGCGAGCGCTCAGACGCTGTTGAGTTGCAGTAACTTTCCACGTAAATGAGATTCCAGGATGCATGATTATTCGAGGGCAAAGAAAAGAGACGGGCAAATTTGAGAGAGGGAAATAGAATTGGCATTGCGAGGGTGAGACGACTACTTTTTCTGTATTGCTTCTTGCCGACAAAAGAAGAATCAAGGGGCTGGAGCAACAGGTATGGGGATGTAGAGCCGTGGTTCATGTGCGTGTATGTATGCATGTATATGTGTCTTGTATTCCATGCTGTGGTATGTGTGATGGTGATGGTAGTGTATGTAGGTACGTGGTGCTAAGACATGAATTCCATCGACGTCACATTTACATAAACGCCCCCCTACTTTACCAGCCCACCCCCCCAGCCGTGTCACGCGCAAGCGCCAACCAAGCCTGCTATGCGCGCGCCCCCAAGTCGAGTTGTGCGCCGCCAAAAAAGAAAAGAAAAAGAAAAAGAAAAGAAAGGCAGAGAAGGAAGCTCTGTAAAGCATGCTCAACGCTGCGCTCGACGCTTCGCATAAACGTGGGTGTAATGCGCGTGGCATGCCAGAAGATGAAGATGCTTCTTGATGTCGAGCCGGGCGCTGGCGTGCGCGCGCACCAAGTAGGCGGGAGGGGGCATGTATGTGTACGAGTATGACGGGGGAAAGCAAGGGCGCTTGGATTCCAAGGCAAGCTGCATTTTGAGGGGGGGGGGACATGGACATGGACGCTGCTTGGTTCAACGGCTACGTCATTGTGCTGCGGGTAGCATGCGAGGAGGCTGGCCTGGGCAGCGAACATGCAGGTTTCGTCTTAAAGCTCGTGGGATGCCCTCACGCTCAAGGCCCCATACTTAGCAATCTTGCCTCTCTCTCTCCTCTTTCCCCCCCTTTTTCTTTATCCGAAACCCTTGCGTTGTTGTTGTTTGTGTGATTGATATATATATATATATATATATATCATCTGGGTATTCGAGCGCGCCAGCTTCAACGTCAACGACTTACATAGTCATTGCGCAAAACGGTCGCTTACTATATCGCGTACGGCTCGAGAAAACAAAAAAAGACTTACAACATGTCTGGCGTTGCACAGGAAAAGCCGCTCAATGAGTATGTACAGTGGTGGCCTGGTGGCTGAGACCAAAGCATAGCATACCTCTCTCTAACACGGTACCAGGCTGCTGTCACGCTCCATGGTGGACATCTACGTGGGCCCGGAGAACACACACTGGATTCTGCACGAAAAGCTGCTGTGCCACCACTCGCCCTTCTTCCGCAAGATCTTCTACTCCAAGACATCGACATCGTCGCGCACGCAGTCGTTTGGGCTCCCGGACGAAGAAGACACGCCGTTCAAGACGTTTGTCGGCTGGCTGTACTCGTCGAGCCTGCCTGTGCCGCGCGAGGAAGCCGATCTGGGCACGTGCTTCGACTTGTATCTGATGGCGGAGAAGTTTGAGATTCCCGCGCTCATCGCCGACGTGCTGCAGGTGGTGCGCGAGTGGTACAAGTACAGTGATACGTACCCGGGGCTGCGGCGCGTGCAGTACGTCTACGCCAACACGGAGGACGGCAGTCCGATGCGGCACATGCTGGTGCATGCCGTGGCGCGCATGATGGTGACGGAAAAGAGCATGCCGCAGCACTGGGACAAGGCGCTGCGCAAGAACGGGCAGCTGGCTGTCGACATTATCCGCGCCATCCAGGACTGGCGTCTCGACGAGGCCATGGTGCCGGATGCGCGCGAGGAGCCGGCCGAAGCAGAGGACTTGATCGATGTCGAGCAGGAAACGCAGAGGCTGGACGACGAGGCAGACGAGGAAATCGATCATGAGCGCGCAGAACAGGATGATGCCTCGTCGGCGACGGCCCAGGACGCAGATGACTCGGAGGAAACATTTGTCGATTCCCCCGCGGTTGCTGTTGACGACAAGAAGCAGGATCAAGCGAAGAATGTCAAAGACGCTACCAACGAGGCGGGCGGCAAGGCGTGTGGACTGGAAAAAGAATTTGGAAAGTTTAGTCTGAACGACATGGGTAGTGCTGATTACGGGACTTTGAGAGCGTAGAATGAGTTTCTTCTCTTGGTCCTCTTTCTTTCTTTCTTTCTTTTTCTTTTAGGATGGGGTTTTGTTTCTTGGAGGTGCCAAAAAGGAATGGGTTGATATACTTTGGGATTCTTCAATGGTTCAATATTTCTTTTTTCCTTTTTCCGCCTTCTGGAAGGGTTTTGCTGGGGACAAAAGATGCCAATAAAGGGGGGGGAAACACTAATGATATACCTTTTTCTTATCTTATCTCATTTTACCCGTTTTTTTTTCTAGGGCTTCCAAAGTTGTTCTTCTGATGTGTGTTTTCTGGTGTTTTTTTTTCGGATTCAAATTGTAGGATATGGTTACACTTCACAAAGGGCTTAATCTCCTCTTTGGTAGATATTGTCCATGCTAGGTGCAAAGTGGTGTGTTGTTCTTGTGTGGTTCCAGTATGTTGTTTGCTAGTGATGTTGATGTGAGTTATTCATGATTTATCACCTCCCTTTCCTTACCTAGTCTCTGATGTGAAAGTTGAGTATATATGCAAATACACGTTATACAACGGGATATTAGTAGTGGTGATAGTAGTAGTGGTGATAGTAGTGGTGATAGTAGTAGTAGTAGTAGTAGTAGTAGTGAAAATAGTCACAGTAGTAGTAACACTAGTAACATCACTAGTAGCAGCGACCACAGTACTTTAGCAATGGTGTTAGTAATACCAGTAATAGGAGTAGACGAGAAAGGGAAGAGAGAAAAAAAAAGGGGGGGGGGGAAGGAGCAAGTACATGACATGATTCGTAGTCACGCTATCTCCCCATCCATCTCCCAGTTTTCCCCCGCACCCCACAGCCATGGTGGTTCCCCCCCCCCTTGGGTGGGTGCATCTGACATGGCATCTTTATCGTATCTCATCTCATCTCATCTCGCATAACATCTTACATGGGGGTGCATAGAGATTACCAAGTTACATTGACATGTCACATTTATTGTAGAGTACGACAGGTAAGTAGCGTGAAAAGACCAAGTAAAATAGCTTGTTTGCATTTGTAATCTATAAGCCTAGAATCCATTCTCGAACAGACCCAAGTATTTGCATTGCAGATACACGGCAATGGAGTCTTTGGATATTTATAGTGTCCATGTAATTATTTTTTTGGGGGTCTTTTCTTTTCTTTTCTATGGTTATTTGCTTCTTTTTACCGAGACCAAGGGCAAGACGCCAAGCGAGAGGCGGCATAAATCATGGGTTGGTTGGTTGTGTCGTTGGATGGCTAGTTGGGTAGTCGGGTGGATAGTTGGAATCGATAAAGTCAATGGGGAATGGTAAGGGTAGGGATGGGGAAAAGGTTTGGGGTTATATTTAGTAACGCGGGGATAATAGAGCATGAGTGTACAGGGACAAAGGAAAGGAGGGCTGGGCGGGGGATGCCGAGAGCAGAGAGAGAGAGAGAGAGAGAGTGTGTGTGTGTGTGTTGTGGAAATATACGTGATATTTGGTAGTTGATTGCACGGTGGGTCGCTGTGATGTGGTTATAGATGGTGAGGCAGCCATGATAACGACTACTTAGTCATGGACGTGGACATGACAAGACAAGAGCGTCACAAGAGAGACAAGAATTTTTCGCGTCAAAGTTTAAAGAAGCAAGAGAAAGAGAGAAAAAAAAGGCTTTTGCTTGAGAGACATAGATGGAATGGATGCAGGTGGGTGATTGCTTGATTCATGGAGCACTTGACGTGGCTGTAAGACGTACCGAGGGAATGGTAAAGGAGACGAGGCAAAAGCAAAAGCAGAAGCAAAAGAAGAAAAAGAAGAGCCGAAAATGCAAAGAGCATGAGTAGGTTGTAATTACATCGTCTTGTTTGGGTCGAGTTGAACCCTGGAGGGATATTGGGCTTGATATGATTATGCTTACCCTTACCCTGTCTGGTCGTTAACTTAGTTGCGGTGGTGAGAGGAGAAAAAAAGGGGGAACCAATGCTGGACCAATTGGCGTCGAGTGTGGAGTAGTACAAGCTGAGTGCAAGCCGAGTGCAATACATTGTTGCGCCATCTTGTGAAATGGTTATGGATTTGGAGAGTGTTTTTGGGTGCGACAAGATTGTAGTGCAGAGCGACACAGACAAGGGACGTTATACTGTTCTTAGTGCATGGGCGAATAGGTAGCGCGGTGTTGAGGGAATGGGTGTGTGTGTGTGTGTGTGTGTGTATGTGTAACACCAACACGGGCGACGTGCATGACGTATTGGTTGAGAAGGAATGGTTCTCATGTGTTTTTGCTGATCTTGGCCTGTTGGCTGGGGCTAGGGGACTTTGTTGAATGGCACCGTCGGCTCGCGGTGCCGAACAAGTCGATGGGGGGGGGGAGGGGGGCGTGCAAGAGATTGAGAAAAGGGCTTCTCGGCTGAAATGAGCAGGGCCTACTATGCCTGATTGAGAGGGATGGGTTGATTGTGGCAGGCGGCGACGTGTAATGGAAAAGGTGCAGTGTATTGTGTAGCTAAAGTCTGACCATTGGGAAATGGGCCAAGGCAGAGCGTGGGTGGCACGACATGGGCAATCGAGTTATGCAACCACCGTTGTGGTTGTGGGTAGGCCAAGTGGCGTATGAATGAGAAAGTCATGGTGTGCGCTCGTGGCGGGGGGAGAGCAGTTGCAGTGTCGATCCCGAGCCGAGGAAGCTTTTTTTGTCAGCAAAGCATGTGCGCGGCGAACCAAACGACCACGGGGGGCGAAGGATCCATGCATAGTTTTGCGCGGCAAACCTTGTCGGCAGCGGGCGAGACGAGTTGGTTTGGTTGCGATGGTCAGCGTGCATGGGCGATGACGAGAGGGGATTGGTGCAACGGCCGGTGACGGAAGGAGATGCAGCCGCAATGAACCCTTGTGGGTAGTGGTGGTGGTGGTGATGATGATGATGATAACGGTGGTGGTGGTGGTGGTGGTGGTGAGATGATGGCACACGTGTTGGAAGTAAAGGGGGGGAAAGCAGACCCCTGTCATGTGCACGTGAGGCCATGTGAGATTGGGGATTGGGGATTGGGGGTTGACGAGGGTTGGAATGGGCATTTGTGGTGGTGGTGGATGGTTCCGTGCAGGGACGAGGAAGTGGAAGGAATAATAGACAGGTACGAGGCGCTAGGGTGGGCGATTGGCAAGGGCAATAAGCTGACTGCCGGAAGCGGAAGGGGCGGCGATCTTTTGCTGAATCCATGGGTAGCGATGCGACAGCCTTATTTCCAGAGGCTCGGTCGGGCAACGGGCGTGGTCAGCGAGGGTGATTGATGGGATCATGTCGCGGGGCAGAAGCGAGAGTAGAGGGAGGCGGGTGGATGGGCCCATGTCGAGGGAGCGAGTGAACAGGCAGAGGAGGGTAGTGTAGTGTAGTGTAGGGTAGGGTAGGGTAGGGTATAGTACAGTAGATGGGGGAGTGCGAGGGTGAGATGAGAGCGTGTCATGCACGTGCTGGCAGCGGCAGTCGCCCACGACGGGCGCAGGGGTGGTGCATGGTGCCGAGTGTCAGTTTATGCTTTGAGGGCAAACATGGCGCGCCCGACACGCGGAACAGGAAACATGGGCGAGGGAAAGAAGAAAGGCAAAGGCCATGGTGGATGGTCAAGATTGGCATGGGGCTGGGGCAAAGCAAGTGTTTGGTTGGGTGTGAGGCAGAGGCAGAGGCAGAGGGCGAGGTGAGGTGAGGGAGAGTGTGTTAGTGTGAGTGTGTGTGAGAGCGAGCGTGTGGCTGCCGGGGGTGGCAAGGGCAGCAGCGGTCTGTGGGCGGCGTCGTGGCAGAAAAAGAGGGTTGGATGTTTCAGCAGCCGTTTCGCTGGCAAGTCGCGTGACGGGCTACGGGCGATTGGCGATGGGCCATGGGCGATTGGCGCGCCAGAGATGATGAATGGGGAACGGGACGGGGCAGCAATCTATCTCGGGCAGACGTGTGTTTGTGTCAGGACGAGGAGAGCATGGGTGGGCAAAGGTGTAGTATAGTGCGTGGGAGATGACGACGATGACGATGACGATGCGAGTAGTAGTAGTAGTAGTAGTAGTAGTAGTGGTGGTGGTGGTGGTAGTAGCAGTAGGAGGAATAGTAATAGTGGCAGCTGGTAATGAATGGGCAGCCACGTGTGAGGCGCCGGCAAGAGGCCTAGCGGGCACAGGCACTGACGATGACTATGAATGACTGGCACTGGCACGGGCACAGGCACGGGCACGGGCGCGCGGGCACAGGCACTGGAGGGGGGGGAAGAAAGTGGGTGTGTTAGCAGTTGGTGCTAGGAGGGAGGGAGGGGCACATACTACTGCTACTGCTACTGCTACTGCTACTACTAGTACTAGTACTACTACTTACTACCATTACTACCACCACCACCACCACCACTGCCACCACCGCCGCTACCACCGCTACCACCGCTGCCACTCCCCACTACCTCGACAGCAACACGTCGCCGGGCCGCGCCAAGACGCGCACGGGCCGGCGACGGGCGGTGGGTGTCGGCGGCTGTGAAACACGAGGCCCCCATGAACCATGGTCCCTGGCCAATTAGCCGTGGCCGCGCATAACCGCTTCGGGCGTCATCAAACCGCTGGTGCGCCGGCGTGAAACACGGCCACAGCCGCCCCTGTGATTGGCCGCCAGCCAAGTATTGCCAATGGAGCCTGTAACGCGCTGCCTGCCCTAAGCGCCTGCGCCTGCTGCCTGCTGCGCTTCTCGCTGCGCTGCGCTGCGCCGTGCTGTGCTGTGCTGTGCTGTTCTGCTGCGAACGGCTGAGTGCTGTTGCTGCTGCTGCTGCTGCTGCTGACAATTCACCCTTCACCCTGCGCCACCCGCCCCTCACACTTGGGACATGCTAAAACACACACATGGCGCTGCTCCTCTTTGTTCGCACGCCCCAGCCTGCCCGGCATGCCGTGTATGCGAAACAGCCGGCTGTGCGTGGCGTGCGGCCTCTCCTTGTCCTCGCGCGCAGCCCGCCACATCTGCTCGCCCTGGCCACTCACCCACCACGCATCGAGGCCTTGCTCCACCCCGTCCACCCCGGGCCTGGCGTCTGGAGCCTGTCCGCACCTGCCTTGCCTTGCCTTGCCTGCCTGCCCTTGTCCGTCCGCACCTGCCTGTCTGCCCGCCTGCCTTCCTGCCCAGTGCAAACACATGCACCCACCTACACGCGCGCACCCACACTCACACCCACCCACCCACCCACACACGCACTCACTCACTCACACGCACTCGCTCGCTCGCGCATTCACCCACCCACACGCCCTCCCACCCTTCCGCCATGCCCTGCCCGCCTGTCCGCCTATCCGCCTGCCCGCCTCTCTACCTGCCTGTCTCTCTGCCTGCCTACTACTGAAATCATCCGTGCCCGACTCCCATTTTTATCCCCCCCCCCTCCACCACGCTCCCGCCGCGCCCGGCTGCACGCAAACTTAACTGCGCCCTCTACTTAGGCCTCGCCATTATCGTCTTTCTCCTACACCCACCCTCCCGACCCCTCTCTCCTTTCCTTCGCCCACCTAATCCCCCCTCCCCTCCCCCCCCCAAAAAAAAGGCTTTGTTAGCAGCTCGCCTGCTGCTTAGTCGAGTGCCCCCTCCCCCCCCCCAGTAACTCTCGGTCGCATTGCCTACCGTCCACTTGTCTGCCATCTCCTTGCCCCGCCCCGCTACTAGTCGGCCACCCCCCGGCGCCCGTGTTGCACACCAGCCTCTAATCTGCCCCGGCTGCGCACATCCTTCGACGCTTGGTGTAGCGGACTTCCTACAAGACCCTGCGACACGCATCCTCCTACAATCTTTCAGCCCCTCTCGACTGCTTCACACACCGGCGCCCATACGCGACCATGACCACCGTTGTCGCCAATCCCCCGGCCCCTGCCCAGCATGCGGCACCAGCGTCAGTCGACGGCGTCGGCTCCTCGAGGACATATGCACCCATTGCGCCCTCGACTTCCTCTCCCCACCAACTGACGCCCACCTCGCGCAACTCTAAACTGCCACCTCAGGACAATGCTTCACCTACCGCCTCCAGTCCAGGTGCACAGCACAGAGTCGAGGCCAAGCGCTCACCTCTTTCGTACGTCGTTTAGTCTTTCTTCGTCGAGATCTTCTTCCTCTTCTTCCTCATCATGCCGCCCTCCCTCGGCCTCGTCTCCCACGGCCACGTCCATGTCCCCTCCTCACAGAGACATCATGTCCTTCATGTCTAACCGTCCCTCCTCGCGCAGGTCCCGCGGCCCCGCTCCCAAGATTGTCGTCAAGAAGGAGCCCTCTTCGCCCGACATGCCCACCACCACGACTCGACACCGGCCCCAGCGCCTCAACCTCTCGGCCAACCACAACATTGTCCACTCGTCGGGCGCCCTCACCGCACGCCCTTCGGGCCAGGGCTCCGCCAACCTCCACGATGTCGGCCTCGCCTGCCTGTCGCCTGGCTTCCACACCCAAGACCCCACCATGCGCGAGCAGCTCCAGCGAAGCCTCGATGTAAGAGAGCGCCAGAGGCAGATTATCGAAGCACGCCAGAAGCACGGCAAGGGCGGCCCTGCAGACGCAGACGAGCCCCGCCCAGGCACAGAGATTGGTGCCTTTGGACGCACCATCAAGACGCCCCAGACGTCCCGCCGCAAGGGCCCTCCTCCCGCTCTGTCGATTGCTCCTCCTTCGCACCAGTCCTTTACCAATGACCGCGTCATCCAGTCCGCTCCCCTCAACCAAACCTTTACCGGTCTCCGCAGCAACGCTCCCTCGAGGCAGCCCGCCAACGGCCCATCCAATCTGTCGCAGTCGTCGCACATTCACCATGTCCCGGCCCAGCAGACCAGCAACCGCTTGCCTCCCATTTCAGACGTATTTCCAGAGCCCCTCGGAACGGCACGAAATGCCTACCACACGGGCAGCCCTGGCCACTCGTCGCACTCCAACGTGCAGCACCCAATGCAGTCGCCCAGCTTCCCGCCTCCGCAGTTCACCCAGCCCCCGCCCACATCCAGGCCCCGTGAGTACAAGTCGGCCGAGGAGGCTGTCCAGCAAATGTCGGGCGGCCGAGAGGACCTGTTGCCCCGCCTGGTTCACTATGGTGGCCACCAACCGCCTACGCCCCCGTCGCCCATGCCCAGCAAGAACGCCTCTTCATCACACACGGCACGCCCTGAATCCCACCGGAGCGGCAGCGCCCGAAGACGCGGCCGCGACGAGTACGAGCACGACAACGGAACCCCTCCGCTAGGCCGCCAGCAACCTCGCCACGGTCCCTTTGGCGCTGGCCGTGACTCGCCCGAGACGCAGCTCAGGAAAAAGGAAGAATTCATTGCTCTCTGCGCCAGAGCCTGGGATCTGTTTCACTCGTAATGTTTGTTGCCGTCAGACTTATCCATGTTTCCTTTGGTTAATTTGTTGTTTTCCATTCACGGCGCACTCCGGAGTTCTCGCCTACCATTTCCATACGTCTTTTTTTTTAAGAGCACCAGCGGTCTATTGGCACGCAGGGTTATACCCCAGACACACGCACCTTTTTTACTATGTCCCATTTCGCCATTTCACCATTTACCATCTGGGCCGCCACTTCTCGTCTCAAGTTTTCTCATATTGGGTTATGTTCACATGAGTTGGAATGCGAGGAGACGGGACGTTGGTGACGTTTTGCTACGTGGCTGAGGGCCTTGTTTGAAACACACCATGTCTCATGACCATTTTACCACACCCCCTTCTTGATTCTTCATCTCGATTCAAAACCTCTTCTTTCGCCCTCCACGCTTGTGGCGGGCCATGCGGCCTTGTCCGCTCTTTTTATTTCAACCTTTAACTACAGCAACGGCTTGGAAGTGATACCTTGTTGGAGGGAACAAAAACCCCGGGTGGTAATTAAGAGAAAGAAAGTGTTTTGACTGCACGACAAGCTATACTACATGTGGTGCTCTGACCGCTCTAGCCATGCAGGAATATAGATGTGCTCAATCAGTTGTTTGCTATGCCATGCATGTGATGTGCCGTCCTGTGTAGAGTATTGCGTCATTCCTGTCATGATTGCTGTAGCCCTTGTCTACCACTAGACTAACCCGTGTCTTTCTTCTCTACAAAGCATGCTATCAAAGCACTTGTTTCACCCTGCTATTTTTACTTTCCATCTACTCCCCCACTATATCCATACATGACGTCTTATCTTTTATCTTCCATCACGATCCTGATGACAAGAACTATATACAAGGTTTGCAGTAATATTCTTTGTGCTCGTGCACAACTCCACCCGAACCTAAAACCAAACGTTAAATAAAATAAAGCCTATGCATCCGTATCTCACGCACTAGAACTAGAGTAGGTGTAGATGCATATATATAGATGGATCATCTACAAACGGAAAGGTACACAAGGGAAGGGTGAGAAAAAAAAACAGAGAGGGAAGAAAGAAAATCGTGTTGAATACGGTGGGGCCAAAGGAAGGGAAATGTTCCACCAATCATGATGCATGGCTGGGAATGTTGCAAACCTTCATGTAGGTGCAAGTCCAGATGTAAGTGTATAGACAAGAGTTATAATTCTCAATCGCCGCCATAATAGCAGGTGGGACATATACATCCGTCTCGTCTCATCTAGTGTTACTACTAGTATAACTATTATGATGGCGATTACACTACAACACGGACATTCCAGCACCACAGTCACAACAACAGCATAATAACCGGCTTGCGCGGAGTAACAGCCTAGCAATCGCACAACAGTCATCGATTATAACAACAACAATATCCATAACCATCGTACGTGGAATAACAATACAAGATGTTATCAACCACCGTGCAACATATACACATACACACTACGTTTCAAACACAAACACACAAATACACGTGCACGTGTATGAGATATATTACTTTTTCTTTTCTTCCATAATACCCCCTTGTCATTCCTTCTTCCCTTTCCTCCGCTTCTTTTCCGGGATGGGGTGCGGGTACGTTTTTTTTCTTCTTACTAGCTGACCGAACAACAAGCAACCAACCAACCAACCAACCAACCGGCTGACTGGCTAGCTGACTCTGAAATGCATACCGACATGGCCAAAGCGAGCCGAACAATGGCATGTAAGCGAGATGCGGCCATCCTGGCAGCTTTTGAAACACAAGTCTGTTTTTGGCCTTGCTTGGCGCGTGTTTGTGTGCAGAGGGGGACGTGGGATGCATGGATGCATGGGTCCATGGGCAGGGTAGGGCTGGGCTGCAAGAGGCAAGTCAGATGCATCCATGGATGGGGGGGTTTATTGCGGTGAGTTTGATCGGGAAGAGGGGGGGGGGAAAGGGGATAAATGGATGAAAAGGAGGGACTCAAGATACATATCCTACGTACGTACGTTGGGAAATACGTCGAGTGTAGTACGTACGTATAGTATAGTATAGTATCAGACACCCAAGTGCCTATATGGATGCGTGTGCAAAATGCCCCCAGTCCGTTCAAACCAACAAACAACGGACAACAACGCATCAATTCTAGATTCATCCACACACACACACACACGTGCTGTCACTGCAAACATGTACCCTACGTACTTACGGACGTATACTAACAAACTAACCGAAAAAAGCGCATCCCCACTACAGCGCATCAGATCAGATCGGATCTCAGGAAAGAAAAGGAAAGGAAAAAAAGGGAATAAGCACGGCTTTTGACCGAGTCGGGCCGTAAAAAGTGTACACAGAATATCCAACCAGTAGTACAACGAAACAGGGTGGGGGGGGGGGTTTTTTCCTGTGCATTCAGCCGCTTGAACGGGCGGGCGCCTTTTTTTTTCCCTTGCACTTGGCTGGGTGGGTAAATAGGTAGGTAGGTAGGTAGGTATGTCTGAGGGGAAGGGGAGGGTAAGTATACTTGGGGGCTACTACTTATTAGCTACGGAACTACCAAGTATACTTACTTAGTTGGCTGATTTAAGTCGTGCGTGTCGAGTCTATGTTATCTTGCACAAACTCGGTAAGTACAAGGCATGCACATATGACTGTCTTGGATGATGGGGCTTGTATATCGGTGACATGTCCAAGTGACTCGTTGATTAAAACATGCCGCTCTTCTCTCTCTCTCTCTCTCTCTCTCTCTCTCTCTCTCTCTCTCTTCCTCATCCATCTACATGACCTGGCTAAATCGGCATATCCACGGCACCGCAATAACGCGTGACCACCCCCCTTCATAATCGCGGGTAAGTAGATTGACCCCCCAGAAAAAAAAGAGAGAGAGAGAGAGAGAGACAGGCATGTGGAGAACAAAAAAATCCCGTGTCCCAACGTCTGCATCTAGGTAAAACCCGCGTCACTTCCCCTTGCGGCGGCGGCGACGGCGGCCAACCCCCCCCCTCAAAAAACCCTAAATAAATAATCTTGTCAGCTTACCTAACCTAACCCAACACGGCCCCTGGTTGATATCAGATCTCATATCATATCGACAATGTCTCTTTTATTTGACGCACCCGTGTTCCATCTATGTAGACGCATTCGACCCCGTTGGTCGCATCTAAAGCGGGAGGCGGCTCCGATTGTGAAATGCTAGGAGTATGACTACATACATACAAACATACATGGTTTCACATGTGTTACTTACTTCAATCATATAGTACAGCCGCCTAGCTGGGGAATCTCGCACCGCGGCGTGCGCATACCACGTGTCGCTCCGTGTTGTCATGTACACACACACACATGTGTGATACGTGTGTTAGTCTGTCTAGGCGATGGGGTAAGTAGTTTACTGGTTAGTTAGTTAGTCAGTTAGTCAGTTAGTTAGTTCAAGTCGGGCATTTCAGCTCCGTCGTTAGTGGACACAGAGAGAGAGAGAGAGAGTGCAAGAGAAAAAAAAGCGCAGCTACTACTACACATCAAAGCAGGGACATGCCGTCACGTCAAACGTCAAAACGTCAAGCTGGGCGCGCGACCCATGCCATGGGTTAGTAGTTACGCTGGAGGAGCGCGGGATGCGCAGAGCACGCTAAGTACTTACGCCATGGCCTCTTCTTCTCTCTGTCTCTCTCTTATTTTTTTTCCCTTTCTCGAGACCACGTGTGCCGCTCGCGTTTTACCTTTGCATGGGGGATCCTCCTCCGTGCGCGACGGCGTTGTAGTCTCTCTCTCTCTCTCTTTTTTTTCGTCTTCGTTCCTGCGGGTAAAGTACGGGAAATACGAACCCCCCCCCCCAGACAAACTCATTCGGATATAGCCGCCGCGGCGCACCAAAAGATGACGCGAGAAAAAAACGTAAAATGGGGAGGGGACATTGCTCTCTCTTTCTCTCCATCCCAATGCGTATGGCTGACAGTTGCTGGTTTTGGATTGCACTTGGATGTTTTGGGAGGGCGTAGCCGCGGCTAGATTTTCGTATCTGGTCTTGGGGGGGGGAGCTAAAATGAGACATATTATTGAATGACTCTCCGCCATGTCTGTGTGGTGTCCATGTAGGGCGACGGCCCAAAAAAAACTTGTCCAGGTTACCCATACCAGACATGTGTTTTCTATTTTCTGTTTTTTTTTAACCTTTTTGCTTCTTTACTTAAACTTGTCTTTTTGGGGCGTGTGCCTAGTCGACCAAGACAAAAAAAAGAGCCCGAGAGCATACGGGCAGCGGGTGGCCCCCCGTTCGTGGCCTGCTGAGACTGCGTCATAAAAGCGTGCATCGGCCATGGAACAAGGCTGGAAACAGAGAAAGAGAGAGAGACATGTTCGTCGCAAACTACGCATAACGGCTCATCTCGGCTTCATTGTGAGAAGGCGTGGTCGGGCCTCGTCTGGGCGTTTCTGCTCTTTGTCACGGGCGGCGTGCCAGCGTGTTTGACTAGTTGCCCATTTGTGGTCCGTGGGTGGCGTCGGTGGGATGGCGGGCGGGCTTCGTCAATGTAACATGTCCATGGTCATCGCTGCATGAGACACAAGCAGGTGGTGGGCGTTCACGTCACCGCTTTTGACAGGTGGGTATTGGCTTGGCCCTTTGACCTGCCGGCTGCAAAGTAATGCCTAGTGCCAGTGCTGTTCTTCAACGGCCGCCTAGGCCATTTCTGCTGGGTTGGGCCTGGCTCACAGTGGTAGCGACGACGTCATCCAACGGCCATATTGTTCTGGATGCTTTGCCGAGCTGGATGCTTGAGGGTTCCTTGTTGGACACAGGGCCAAACTGCCACAAAGTCATGGCAGTGTCAGAAGGCCATGTTGAGCCCAAAGCAGCATCCATGGCACCACGCCTTGTGTATATCCCATGCTGTGCAGGATCGGGGGCCGTGTCTCAACAATAGTTCCACAAGATTTCTCGACTCAATGCAAGCGGACCCTCCCGTTTGGCTTGGTTTGAAAACCATGGCTGTGCATCGCACCCGAGCTGCTGCTTTGTCGAGCAGATATTCTTAGCATCTGCGGGTGCGTAGCTGCGAACCACCAAGGCTTCCCTGTCGTAAACAGCCTCAGCGTCTACGTTTCGCTTTGGTTTGAACTAATACACGCACTGTTGCCGCCTGAGGCGTCGTAGAAATGCCGCGGTTAATCCGTGGTACAACTTCGGGTTTGGCTGCGAGATGCTCGGTGTAGCTGTGGTTGAGGTAGTGCCCCATACACTGGTGGTGAGCTAGCGGTGTCGAATACGCGGCAGTACAGGCAAGACTAGGTATGCTTGAGGCAGATGGCTTTGGTCGTTTCAAGCCATTTCAACATGCACATCTTGCACTGTTGCTTGTGTCTGTAAGTCGATGCACTGACGATTGCACTGACGATTGCACTGACGATTGCACTGACGATTGCACTGACGATAGCACTGACGATAGCACTGACGATAACTCTGACTTAGGTTTCTTGAGAATGTTAAGGAATCAAAGTCAATGCGTCTTACATTTCACATGTGCGGTTGCATGTAGAGGAAGGCTCAGTTTCATATGCCAGCTACCTGTTTGTACCTGCTTCTGAATTTAAGCCATATCAAAGTTTCATTGGGAGGCTAGCACATGTCAAGCTCCCGTATCAAGATGCGCCGTGTAACTAGGCTGACATGACGTAAACTATCCTTTGCATATCCTCGCTACCAGTGGGGTACTTGGTCTGAGATTTGTGGACTACAAACGCTTTGAATGATGGATCAATCATCGTCCCTGAAACCTGCTCCCTTCTCGCCTCGACAGGGCCTCATGTTCTAAGAATGCACATGTGCAGCGTGAAACTTGATTTGTTGGGCCCAGGGAAACTAAATTTATCATCGCCATACGTGCGGTAGATTTAGCACATGACTTGGCTTGGCTATTTTACTGCTGTGATAGTACAAGATCTGTGTTTCACTGAAAGACGGTGGTCGGATTTCTTGATATTGTTTGAAAATTCTTCATATACTAAATACTGTTAGCGTTCAATTCACAAGTATGTCAAGGTTGATAACAAGAATAACATTACTCCATACTAGGACAGCTCGAGTTGTTTTCTAAGGTAGGTGGTTTATCATCTTATCTTTCTGTGATTTTCTGTTTTATTCGCGAATCGAATTTGGATATCACTTCTAATAATACATCAACAAAGTTAAACAGGCTCCTGTCACCCGCCTGGTTTACACATTATTAAGTAATCCTATAATGAACATTGGAAATCCAGAGATATAGACTTGATGAAATACTTGGCCATTCTCCATCGTACTCTTCCCCAGAAGCGACAGAGTGATCCTACATCAACATGGAATCGAATCATCCCCAACAAATACTCTCCCGCTATCCCACCCCACCATAATAGCCATTCACTTTCAACCTATGATCCTGAATCTACACGAGTAAACCGCATAATACAACCACCCATTCACCCGCTCAACTCACAACACCAAATTGATATAGTATACGCTCCTAGCCAAGCTCCCGTCTCTTCCTCATACCTAGGCTTTAAACACTGCGATCCTGACCTCATTGAAACAGCTGTGCCCAGAGTCTGGAATACGTGAAGACATACCCACACATGCTTACTACTGCCCTAAAGCAGGCCCGCACATTGCACCCACCAGTTAATTCAGTACAACGCTATCACCACGTTGTCGCATCTTCTCCATAAGTATTATGTATTCATCTTCTAGGCTAAATGCACGATGAAAGCACCAATATGTTTTACAAGCATAGGATAGAATCCAAATTTTGGAAATATCAACGTAGTAGCGATTGATCTTGTATCGTTCTATCAGACACATTGAGACCCTTGTTTATGCGCTTTCACGGACTCGGAATGTAAAGGGAGATGTCGTTTTCAGACAAAGAGCAAATAGCATACTCGATATGGCGACAAGAGATTTCTAGAAAGCAGGTCAAGCGTGTATATCTTTCATGCAAGCATTAGTAATAGTCTTTATATTGGGTTTGAACGATCTTCATATTCGCTTGTTATTGCTCAAATACCCCATTTCTTGCGTAGCTTTGGAATTGGGATTTTAGAACGAGAGAGTTGTATAGACACTACACGCTGGCCATACACAAAATTCTGGCTACAAAGCCATCTAAGGCGCTCTTTTAATTTCTACCGCTTGATCGCTTCACATACTGCGGGAAGAAGAAGAAGAAGAAGAAGAAGAAGAAGAAGGGGGAGTTTTCTGGGATACTTACTGCAATGTATTTCGCAATATGGCTTTACAAAATGCTGCGAATGTTGTTCACTTAGACTCGTACTATGTGTAAGATACAGGAGTAAAAAACTAGTCGTAGTAACTCATAAGAGAAACAGTGAGTTTAGCAGGATTTACTTTATGAAAACATGTATAAAAGCGTCTTGTTCCAATTTTTCGGAATGCTTTTTTTTAAAGTACTTAATCCTCAATTTGAATTCGCGTAAAAAAGAAGTAAGCCATGAACTATGTAGTGTTCTTAACAGAACTCGCATCAGAATGTGCAATATTCAGCCACATGACCTTGTTACAATTTCAACCGCTCAAAGAATCTACAGTACTTGTTACACCTCAGTCATATATTTCAGTACTTGTTTATTGTAATATTACTAAGATATAAGCCAGGCCGCTCTTTTGTACGATTGCACAAGAAAACCGGCACTGAACTACTCGTTCCTGAGAGTGGCACTGTGGTTTTGAGCAGTGGACTTTCTAGATAGCTGGAGTGTATACAGTAGTGCTGTTTTTATTCGGTAGAAAACGACATATAACGGCAGATTAGATATCGCTGATCTATTCAGATACTGATATATTGCTGCAAATTACGTGACACTTTAAGGTAAATTATCCAATATACTCAAAAACTATGTACATCCTTGGTAGACATAACATGTCTAATATAAACCACCTACCCAAAGTCTGTTCAACTTGATCAACGTATTTCAGAAGTGATACGCATATTCGATTCGCGAAAAACAGAAAACCATAGGGTTACTTGATTGTATCTACTAGCCATTTGCTCGTGCTAACGCAGAGATTTGATTCACTCTAGGATTCCAGATGCGGCGGGCCAGGAGAACAAGTGTCGGGTATTATGAGAAAGCCAGTCAGCAGTAGTATGCCGATTGAGTACCGGGCCTCGATGCTCGTCAAACAACGTTGCTGACTGAGCATTCTCCGTGCCCCTCTCCCACCTGTGATCTCATAATAGCTCTTATGCCCAACACGGCCTTTACGAGTTCGTACTATTCTTACCTTGTAGCTTGGTTTCTGCGCTATTTACCACAGTCTCAGGATGGAAAATTAGTTATTCCATGTAACGGACTTGGCACGAGTGGAGTTTGTCGAGTCGTTGGTATATCTGAAGAGTTAGGCAACCCAACACATATGTGGTATTGGAACAAAGAAAAGGGAATGGTTTGAGCAGGGTGCCGTGCTATTCAGGGAGTATTGGCCCACTCAAGTGGCGCTTGTTTGGTAGAGGCACGAGTCGATCTGGTAGCAATGCCTGCCACGGAAGAGGCCACGCGGTAACATGTACGTTGAGAGAGTTATCCTGCAGCTCTGGGGTCAATCTACACCTGTCCCATGTCGGATTCAGTGTTTTATTTAGACGAGGGCTAGCGCGATGTAAGGACGGAATTAGAAACGACTTCGCCTGACATGGCAATGTTGAGACGGGTATGCCTTCAGCTAGATGGCGACTTGGACAGCTGGTGACAGGGCCGTCGACTCACGACAGTGCCGTCTCCCGCTGCTGGCACACGACGGGCTGGTGGGCGGCAGGCCCGTCGTGGATGTCGTATATTGGCAACATGCCAAGGCCCATGTTTGGCCGGCCGTTGTGCTGGCCGCGGTGCAGCGGCCCAGAGGGGCTTGGTCGTGTGGCCACTCGGATGTATGGGCGTCGCATGTCGACGACGGAGGTGGCGGGGCAGCCAGTCAGGCGGCGAGATGCAAGACATTTGCGTGATGATGGTGCTTAGAAATGGGGGGTAAGGTTTCTGGCCGCTAGTGAGAAATCCCAGCATCACTAATTACTTATTATTAGTAAAGCAGCCGCGCTAATAAGCCCTATCTTGTTATATAGTACTAAGCTATACTTAGTTACTAGCTTACTATAGTATTATAGCCTAATATAGCTACTTATAGCAAACTCTACTTATAATTATATAATAAGCTACTATACTAATTTACTACTCTACTAGATTTTTACTACTACTCTTATTTTGCTAGCTAATAGCTATTTTTTTAGTATTATTTTTAATAAACGATAAAGTTTCTATAAAAATGCTAGTGAAAAACTATTATTTTAGCTAGAGCTTAAAAAACTATAGATTATATATAACCTTTACTACCCTTTTAGCTACTTAACTAGTTAATTATAAATATATAGTTGCTTAACTTTAATACGCTATAAGTTACTATAATTAATACTAAAATACTAAGAATCTTTAAGTATACCTTAGCAATACCTATCTACTTTTCCTTAAGCTATTTCTATACTTTTCTTTTATTATGGCAAGCTAGAAGACTTTAAGATTCTAGCTTTATTTTACTTACGCTTATATTCTAGTAAAGTGCTATATAAGCTATACATACTAGTAAGCTTTAGAGCTTATTACGTAGTATCTATAAGTATTACGCTATATTTCTACTAATATTCTATACTAATACTTTAACCCTTTTCTACACTTTCTTCTTTTTGTAGTAAGCTAAGAAATTCTAAGATTATAGCTTTATTTACTTGCGCTTATATTTTAGGAAAGCGCTATATAGGCTATATATACTAGTAAGCTTTAGAGCTTATTATTTTAGTATCTATAAGTATTACACTATATTTTTACTAATATTCTATACTACTACCTTAACTCTTCTCTATACTTGTAACGGCGCAGGTAAGGCAGGTCGGATCTGTTTCGGTCGTAGGATCACTCAGAGGCATATGGGAGTGCGTGGGATCACAAAGAGCCTAGATTCAACAAGCCACCTATAGGCCTTGTACGAAAGGATATCAAAAGTCTACAGAGCTAGCTACAGGGGATGTCTCAAT